AGGTTTCATAATTCACTAGAATGACTCATAGAAATCAGGAAAGCACTGTACATTTAATCACTATTTTATTTAAAGGATAAAACTCAAACTGTATTATTATAAAGGAACAGCCAAATGGAAGAGACACATAAGGCCAGATACAGAGTGAGGGAGAGCTAGGAGCCTGAGCCACCCTCCAGGTACACTGATATATTCACCAACCAGGAAGTTCTCTGAATCTAAAGTTAGAGTTTTTATCACAGTTTCATTATATAGGTATGATGGATTAAATCATGGCAGTCACTGCCCAGTCCTACCTCCTCCTAGCCACCAGTAACCTACCTTCTGTCTCTATGGATTTGCATATATGTGCATTTCACACAAATTGACTCCTATAGTATTTGGTCCTTTGTGATTGGCTTCCATCAACTAGCATATATTTTCAAGTTGTACACATATCAGTGCTTTCATTCTTTTTGACTGACAAATGATATTGTATTGTAGGGATAGATATCATATTTTGTTATCCATGTATTAGCTGATGGACACTTGGGCTCTTTCTGCATTTTGGCTATTATGAATAACGCTGCTATGAACATTTACATACAGGTTTTTATGAGAACATGCTTTCATTTCTCTTGAATACAGCAGTAGGAGAAGGGTGGCTATGTCATATGGTGTCTCTATAGTTAACCTTGTGAAGAGCTGCCAGACTGTTTTCCAAAGCAGCAGCACCATTCTATGCTCCCACCAGCAGCGTAAGTAGAGCAGTGGGGCCTGTATCTCTACCCGTGAAGGATCCCCTAGGTCCCATTTTTAAAAGCCCAGGAAAAGACTTTATTTGGCCTGGCCTGGGTCAGATGCTGAAGTGTTTTCTCATCTGCTTTTAGAAGAAGGATCACATGAGACGATGGCTAGCCAGCAACATGGCTATAGGAAGGGGTGCTTCCCTGGAAAGGTGTATGCTGATACACTAGGCGACAAAGTCTGCCACAGAAACCTAAAGTTTAAGGATGGTGCCATCCTCTGAGAGTAACTGTAAGGTGTAGGAGCACTGGGTTGATACAGTAACTGGGACAGTGCTACTAGCACTTATGGAGGTGTGAATATTCTGAAACATACAAGATAGTCTCATTCAAAAGAGAGACTGTCCTGCCTAAAGCCAACAGTGCTCCATTGATAAACCCACTTCTGTAATAACAAATTCGCCTTTTACTTAATAGGGAACATGCCTATTCAAAATAAAGATTTTGCTGGCCAGCCTCCCTTTGCAGCTAGATGTAGTGAGTGATCAAGGTCTGGCCAATGGAATATAAACAGAAGTATTGTGTGTAACTTCTGAGAGGTATCTTTGGAGAGAGAAATTCTCTTTGCCCTTATTCCTTACTGCTCACTGGAATGCAGTCATCTAGACTGTGGAATGGAAATATGGAGAAACAGTGGAACAAGATGGGAGGAACCTGAGTATGTGATGATCGCATACTGTCATACTACCTCTGGGCTGCCCATCATTCTGTGTGAAGAAAGAAACTTCTGTCTTAATAAGTCACTGTTATTTTGGTCTCCTGTTGCTCTTAGCTGAACCAAATCCTAACTGATATAACCATATATTATGTGCCAGGGGTCTTCTCTATGTGACAGGTACCATCCTGTGAAAGCACTCTGCAGCACTAACTCAAAGGTTCCCCACATCAAACCAATGAGGTAAGTACTTTTATTCTTACCCATCCCCATTTTGAGATGGAAAACCTAGGCTCAAAGCATATATTTTCAAGTTGTACACATATCAGTGCTTTCATTCTTTTTGACTGACAAATGATATTGTATTGTAGGGATAGATATCATATTTTGTTATCCATGTATTAGCTGATGGACACTTGGGCTCTTTCTGCATTTTGGCTGTTATGAATAACGCTGCTATGAACATTTACATACAGGTTTTTATGAGAACATGCTTTCATTTCTCTTGAATACAGCAGTAGGAGAAGGGTGGCTATGTCATATGGTGTCTCTATAGTTAACCTTGTGAAGAGCTGCCAGACTGTTTTCCAAAGCAGCAGCACCATTCTATGCTCCCACCAGCAGCGTAAGTAGAGCAGTGGGGCCTGTATCTCTACCCGTGAAGGATCCCCTAGGTCCCATTTTTAAAAGCCCAGGAAAAGACTTTATTTGGCCTGGCCTGGGTCAGATGCTGAAGTGTTTTCTCATCTGCTTTTAGAAGAAGGATCACATGAGACGATGGCTAGCCAGCAACATGGCTATAGGAAGGGGTGCTTCCCTGGAAAGGTGTATGCTGATACACTAGGTGACAAAGTCTGCCACAGAAACCTAAAGTTTAAGGATGGTGCCATCCTCTGAGAGTAACTGTAAGGTGTAGGAGCACTGGGTTGATACAGTAACTGGGACAGTGCTACTAGCACTTATGGAGGTGTGAATATTCTGAAACATACAAGATAGTCTCATTCAAAAGAGAGACTGTCCTGCCTAAAGCCAACAGTGCTCCATTGATAAACCCACTTCTGTAATAACAAATTCGCCTTTTACTTAATAGGGAACATGCCTATTCAAAATAAAGATTTTGCTGGCCAGCCTCCCTTTGCAGCTAGATGTAGTGAGTGATCAAGGTCTGGCCAATGGAATATAAACAGAAGTATTGTGTGTAACTTCTGAGAGGTATCTTTGGAGAGAGAAATTCTCTTTGCCCTTATTCCTTACTGCTCACTGGAATGCAGTCATCTAGACTGTGGAATGGAAATATGGAGAAACAGTGGAACAAGATGGGAGGAACCTGAGTATGTGATGATCGCATACTGTCATACTACCTCTGGGCTGCCCATCATTCTGTGTGAAGAAAGAAACTTCTGTCTTAATAAGTCACTGTTATTTTGGTCTCCTGTTGCTCTTAGCTGAACCAAATCCTAACTGATATAACCATATATTATGTGCCAGGGGTCTTCTCTATGTGACAGGTACCATCCTGTGAAAGCACTCTGCAGCACTAACTCAAAGGTTCCCCACATCAAACCAATGAGGTAAGTACTTTTATTCTTACCCATCCCCATTTTGAGATGGAAAACCTAGGCTCAGAAAAATTAAATAACTTGCCCAAGTTCATGCTGGTTATACATAAAAGACATTCCACCTCCAGAGCCATGTCTGAAACTATGCAGCTGAGACATCTATAAATTGGAGGACCCAAAACAAATTGATAATGATAAAACTAAACTAACAGTAACATATAATCAATAAGCAGGAAGAACTGTAATCAGAACCTCAGCTATCTTAATAGAATAGTGATGACATATGAGAAATTGGCCTTTTGAAATTTGAGAGAAATCCAACATATCTGCATATGTGCATTTGCCAAGCATTTTTGTGGCTGCCAGACTTTTTAGTAGATTGCTAAATTAGAATCCTTAGCACTCTTTAGATATGTGCCAACTGTAGTTTATAAATATCAAAATTTAATGACTCATTTAGTAGATTACTAAGCAGCCCTTAGCTGCATGCAAGATGAAAATCTTTGGAATTACACACTTTCACATATAATGAATGAAGATGTGCATTTGTTAAATTACAGTCTGTCAGAAGGACCTACAGATCATTCCTTGAGAATCATTCTTATAAAATATTGTATGTAAAATAAAATCTCTTGCTTTAAATCCAAAGCCCTCTGTTTCTTATTTCTTTATATCTCATTTTGTCCCATATGTTTCTATAGATCTCATATTGGTTTGAGATTTAAGACTGAATATTCTGAGATGATTAAATTCAATCAACACTTGCAACACCCATAACCTGCAACAGTATGGCAGTAAGGACAAAATGACGATGAAGAATGATCCTTACTTCCTGGAAACTCACAATCCACTAGAGAAGACACTAACAGGACAAGTATAATCCAAGGTGAGACGTACGTAACAAGTATGTTCTAAAAGAAAAGAGAGGAAAGTGATTATTTGTGCCTCTGATTATCGGGAAAGGTTTGAACAATCATTAGACCTCTGCCAAACAGAGAACAAAGAAACCAGACTGAGAAAAAGTAACAAAAGCACAAAGCTGAAGAAAAAAATGGAACTGGCTTAGACAGTGACAAGTAACCCAGAGCAATTTATTTATTTAAAAGTATATGTATATACTACTACACTAAAGCACTTTTTAAAAACAAACAAATAGAAATTATAAGGAAAAAAGAAGCAATTATAAAGATATTACTAATCATGAACATGGTAAGCACTGAGTAAGCATTAAAAACAGTGAGAACTGAAAGCTCATTCATTTGTTTTCCAACTATGTGATGACTACCAATATGAAACTGAGTGATTTCTTCATGCTTGGCTGGGTGCTTTAATTTTTCCAAGAGAGAGATGTTAGGAAAAGTGAGAGCTAATAAAAGCATGACACTCTATTTTTTGGGAATGTTTATAACCTCTAAAAACACAAAAATGATAGTCCCATCAAACTGTACTATATGTTACACGAAAAGAGACAGAGAAATGCTAATCATGATGGCTTTTTACATTATTACCCGCTATTACCTCAAGCCCAGATATACGCTTAAGGAGGAGCTTATCATTGAAAAGGGAGCACGTAAACCTCTGTTTCAAATGTTCTTAACCATAATTTTTAATTTGGGTACCAGCTCTTGTCAGATGTGGTTAGATGGTTAGTGCTTTCCGTCTAAGCTTGCTGAAAGCTCATACCAGGTATGACCATGGTCTCTCAGGCTTAAAGTTTAGTATTATCTTTATTTTGTAGCTTTTTCCTGTGTGTGAGAATTATTTTAAACCATTTGCCTTCTTGGTGAAGATTAATTTATAATCTAATTCTAATTAAAGATTAATTATATCTAATATTAGATCTAAGATTATAGATTAATCTAAGATTAATTATAGAATCTATAAGCCCATTCAACAGGCATACAAATGACATACAGTTACAGTATATACTGAAAACGAACGGGTGAGGATGCCACCACAATGGCTTCCAGTTGTGATCTCTTCCTTTAGGTACTTCGCTGCCTGTGACAGGAGGTGGTCCAAGCCAGAACACCCTGGACCATCTGTACTGGCGGGCAGCCTCTCCCTCACTTGCGCAAAAATGCGATGAACTCCGTACTGGGTAAACAGGGCATTCGGTCCACGTGTGCGGAGTGCATGAATGGGGAGGAAAGGCAGAGCTTGAAGATCTGGACCTTGTGAGCAATGAAGAACCAGGGCAGAATTGTTTTGGAGGTTAGTTTGCTCTTGTTTTAACAAGAGAGTGACATGATCAGACCTGATTTTTAGGCTTATGAGACAAGCAGCAGGGTGGAGGATGGACTGGACTTGAAGAGGGAGGACTAGAGGCACAGACTGGAGAGGAGGTGCAAGCCGCAGTCCAGGCAACAGCTACAGGTGTCTGAACTACGGCCGTGGCTGAGAGAATGGAGTTGAGATAAAGTTTAGGAGACAGAGCTGATAGGACTTGATGATGAATTGGCAGTGGAAGTGAGGAAATGGTTGGAATTAATTTGAGTGGTCTAGTTCTGATGCCGGTGAGCTTGGTAATATGGGGAGCATGACTCTGGGGGAAGGACAGGATAATGAGGGCTGGTCCGGACATGCTGAATTTGGGCTCACTTAGCCCCAGCAAAAGCTGGCAATGTGAAATGAGAGCTCAGGAGGAAGGCCCAGATGCAACTACATACCTGGACATGATATTTAAAACAATACCGATGACATTTCTCCCAAGAAGAGGATGTATTTGAAAGACAGATTCATCCTATCATTTCTCAGCTTTAAAACTCTGTTGGCCACTTGTGATCCAAATGCCTTAAATTAATACTCAAAACACCCCCTATTCTACTTCCAGCCTATCTCTTCTTCAGTCTTTTATTAAACACACCGATCTTTATAGAGCCTGCATGGGCCATGGTGTGTGTTGGGATTAGAGAGATGGCGAAGTCTTGGTTGCTGCCCTGGTGGCAGGTCTACTGGGGTAGAGACACAGTCAGGATTTAGTAAAATAAGGATAATAATAGAGACCATCTCATAGGGTTGTAGCAAGAATTAAGTGAGTTCATACTGAGAAAGCCCTTAAAACAGAGCTGCATATGCTATAGCTATTATTATTCTAGGAGGGACACATACTGGGACAAAGTGAGGCTCCTTTGATTGGGTGACAAGTGAGCTGAATCTTGGAGGAAGTTGAAGTTAGCCAGAATAAAGGGAGAAGGCATAGGGTTGGAGAGAGATGTTCCTGAACTTCTGTCCCCTCATGTAGTGGGTTGAATGGTGGGCTCCCAAAAGATATGTCCATATCCAAATCCAGGGAACCTATGGATGTTACCTTATTCATAAAAAGTTAAAGATTTACCGATGTAATTAAACTAAGGATCTCATGATCAGATCATCCTGGATTATCTGATTGGGCCCTCAATCCAATGACAAACATCCTTGTATGAAACAGAAGGAGGCACACAGATGAGGAGAAGGCCAGATGGAGATGGAGCCAGAGACTGGAGCGCTGTGGCTGCAAGCCGAAGAATGGAGGAGGACAAGGAGCATTCTCTTCCTGAGCCTCCTCCAGAGGGAGCGAGGCCCTTACAACACCTTGATTTTCACGTCTAGCTTCCAGAACTGTGTGAGAATAAATTCCTAGAATTTTGAACCACGTAGGTTGTGATAATACATTACAACAGCCCCAGGAAACGAATACACCTTGTTACTGCAAGCCCTTCTACAGCTGATTCTCGCTGGTGGTGAACATGCTGGGTCTGGCTCCCATGGAGCCCATGTTCTGGGTGAAGGGCCCACACACAAAAGTTATTTCTAATAGTGGAGTGGCAGGTGTTGTGAAAGTTGAGCACCAGAACTGTGTATCTAATTGCCCACTTGTCTCTACTTAATATCTAAGGGGCATCTCAAACTTAATTTTCCCCAAATACGAATCCCTGGAGATGCCTGCATGTGGGAAGCTGATTTACCCAAGATGGTCAGAAAAGGCCTCTGGGAAGGGGAAACATAATGCAGGAATGATGGAGAGGTGGTCCAAAGCACAGGGCTCGTTTTATTTTTTTATTTTGTTTTTTTTTAGGAAGATAAACAGCCAGTGGAGATAAAGAGAAGAAGAAGAAGAAGATTCAAGGGAGAGGATGACAAGGAGTAAGTGTTTGGAGGAGGCAGAAGTGATCTGAGGCCAGGGTGAGAAAGCAGCTCAAGGATGTGGTCCTCACAGGGAAATGTAAGTACACAGTAGGGGCTAAGTGCTGCTGACCCCCAACTACACTTCCCCGCGTCTGAGTCCTGGCGCTGCCACTGCAATATAATGAGTCATAAGAAATACATACTTGGTCATTCAGATAACCAAATATGTATTTCCCAGATATATTTGGTCTGATTCACAATTCCTGAAAGCACTGCAGAGGCTAAAAGGTGAAATGGGTGTCTTTTCATGTTAATGAGACTTTTAGACCCCATCCAAGGGCAGGGGCTGCAGGTTGAATCAGCCAACTACCAATGATTTGTCAGCCATAACTATGCAATGAAGCCCTCCCAAAAACCCCTGAGAGGAGCGTATCATTCTCATGGATCCTGCTTCTCTGTCAAAGAAACCTTTCACGCTTGGGGAACCAGAACACCTCCACGTGCCACCAAGCCAGGCCCCAAGCTCCACGAGGATAGAAGCTCCTGTATTTGGGACCATTCCCTGTGTATCTCTTCATCTGGCTGTTGACCTGCTTCCTTTATGGTATACATTATTAAACTGGTAAACCTAAGTTGTTTTCCTGAGTTCTATGAGCCGCTGTAGCAAATTAATTGAACCTAAGGGGGAGGTGGTAGGAACCTCCAATCTGTAGTCGGTTGGTCAGAAGCCCAGGATATGCCTGGGGCTTGTGACTGGTGTCTGGAGTACGTGGTGGAGGGCAGTCTTGTAGAATGGAGTCCTTAAGCTCTGGATCTGGTGCTGTCTCCAGGCAGATAGAAGCAGAACTGAATTCTTGCACACCTTGCTGGTGTTCAAGAATTGCCTGGTGTGTGTATGGGAAGATCTTCTCCCTACTTCCTGGACCCACCAATGTGTATGGGGGTAGGGGAGTGGGGAGGGAAGTAGGGAGGAGATGGAGGTATAAATCTGAGAGTCTACGGCGTTGAGATATTTTAAAGACATTTTTTAAGTACTTATTCTCTTTATGAGATAGTCTCTCTTACTAGCTATTATTTCCATTCTTCTTTCACATTCTCTACTCATTCTCCAGGTTCTTCCTCAGTAACTTTGACTATGTTCCCAGATTCATCTATGAGCTATGTTCTTATAATTTCCAAATCTATGTGTGAAGCCCACCCAGAAAAAGTAGACATTTAAGCAGTTAGTCTAGTCTTAGCTCTTCCTCTATCTTTAAACGTGGCCAATTCATAAACTTTGGGCCTCAATTTCTCCATTTGCATAATGAAGGAATTAGACTAGATGGTTCTGAAGTTCCTCGCTCACATTCTGATTCTAGACCTGATGCTACTTACAATAATCATAATAGTAATAATGGTATTTATTACATACTCTATGCCAGACAGTGAGCCAAGTACTTTACACGTTAACAGACTTAATTTTCCTAACAAGTTCCTAGAGACAGGAGCTATTTTTATCCTTATTTTATAGTTGAGGAAACCAAGGTCCAGATAATGTAATTTCCTACTATTTTATAACCAGTTAAGTGGCTGTGGTGGTGTTTTTTATATAACAACAATAGTATATTGCAGCAGTGTAACAGTATACACAGCAGTAATAATAGTACAACTTAAGGGTTCCTGGACCCAATTCCAATGTGTGTGGGGGTTGGGGGGTGGGGAGCTCCAGACTTCATGTCCAATTACCTATTCTAGGTCATTACTCAGAGTCTAATGATCATCTCAAACTTAAACTTTCTAAAAGGGAACACTTGACTTCCTACCCCAAACCAGGTCTTACTTCAATAGCCCCAATCTTGGTAAATTTATATCCAACCCACCAGCACACATTCTATAGGTTCTACCCCCAGACATTTTCTAAGTTGTCACCCGTTCTCTATACCTGATACCCTGCCATTCGAAGCCACCACCATCTCTTACCTGGCTCTGCACAGAAGACTCCCCGCTGGGTCTTCTGCTTCTACATTAGCATCCCTGTTAATCTATTCTCCAATCAACAGCCAGCTGATCTGCTTAGTACATAAACCACATATTACTCTCTTGATTAAAAATGTCTAATGGCTTCCCATCACACTCGGATTAAAATCTTATTATCACACTTATTAAAATCTTATTAGGCAGGTCTTACAAGATCCAGACCCCTCTCACTGTTTTGACTTCTCAAGCCATACTCTGGTTTCTCACTATGCTCCACGTGACCCCTGGTTTTCTTTCTGCTCCTCAAACAGGCCAGGCTCATCTCTGAGGAACTGGTTATTCCATCTATTTGGAATGTCTTCCCCATCCCACTCACTTCTCCTCCATCTTCGCATGGCTGTCTCCTCCTCATCGCTGAGGTCTCTGCGTGTTGCTCTCTTCTAAACACCGCCTTCCCCCTCAACACCTGCAGGTGTAGCTCTCTGGTCAGTCTCTAGCATGTCAGTTGGCTTTTGTATCTGATCACTTATCACTAGTGATATTTTCTTGTTTACTTTTATGTTTATTGTTTGTCTCATCCTCATTTGGAAAGTAAGTTTCCTGAAGACAGAAATTTTGTCTGTCTGGTTTACCACTGTATTCCCAGCCTCAGAAAAAGGCATACACATGGTAGGCTCTCAATAAATACTGATGAAGGAAGGAAGGAAGGAATAAGGGAATAAATAAATGGACGCAGGTTCAGGACAGGAGAAGGTAAATAAATGTAGAGAGCCCTCTATCATTAGATCATCTGACTCTTAATTTAGAGTTCTCAACCTCAGCATGAAAATGCCCTCCCCTTGCTTCTTCAGAGTGCCCCGGGGGGTGCCCAGACCTGCAGAAATCCAAACCTTAGTGAGAGACAGAGAGAAGAGAGAAAGAAAAAAGAAGAAGGGGGAGGGTGGAAGAGGAGGGGATAAAAAGAGAGGGAAATCCAGAGGGAGGGTGGGAGAGTGCCCTGGTTTCCTCTCCTGCCTTTCTCTGGTTTCACCTGGGGATCTATCTGCCTACCTGGATGATTGACATTAGGCAGCTCTACCTTCTTGGGTAGAGATGTCCCTCTACATTCACAGTAGAGATTTGGATCAAAGGCAAAGAATATCAGAATACAACCTACAAGAAATATATATATATATATATCAATAGCAAGGAGGGCTACTTTCTGCAAGGTAGTGATTTCTGTTCTACATGTTTCCCATACTTGTCCTGAGGATCAGATAAAGGAGTGTGATGTGGAATGTGACAGCCATGTGTAAACCACTCTATTACACCATTTGCCGAGTATGTCTGTTAATGAGGTGCACAGTGAGTGCTCCCAGCAAAACGCCTTCTGTGTTACTGATGCCACAATACTAAAAATTTACACAGATAATTCTCAGTGTCCTCTCCTGCCTAGATGACTTCAGCATCTCTAAGACTCATTCGACACCCCTCCTACTTCTGTGATGTTATCACCTCCAGTGCCTCTCACTTCCACTGCGATTCATCCATATCGTCATGCTCTGAATCTTGTCATCACCCCCAAACTATTCCAGTTTGGAAACCTTAAGCCCCAAGACTTCACAATATTTTATGTATGCTTGCATAGCTCTCATACTCACACCCATTGAACCTGCTTTTCAACCCCATCAAGACCTCCTCACACATTTCCTCCCCATCTCTTAGCTGCCTAATTAATGCAATAGCCAGTTTTGTTCTTTCTGTTCTCAGTGGGAAAGTGGCTCTCTCTGGCCCTGTCCCAGGGAAGCTCTCTACCCGAACTCTGGACTCCAGCCCCACCCCCATGTCCTGTGCCGTCAATTATTTACTCTCTCCCCCAGATCTTCAACTTAGCTTCTCCTGGCTTTTCTCCCTCAGCACATAGGCATGATCATATCTCTCTAACAACCACCAGAAAAAAATCTTAGGTTACATGATCTGATACTCTTTATCTAGAATTGTCTTTTCTCCTTCTTTTCACAGTCAAGTCTTTTTCAACCCACTCTCCTCACCCCTCTGTGACCACACTTCTGTCCCCACCACTCTTCTGAAACTGCTCCAGACCAGGCACCAGGGAGCTGACAGGCTCTGGTCATATTTCACCTCTTGTCTGAGTTGGCATCCTCGCTGGAAGCTGTTCCTCCTTCTGCACAGGTGCTTCTGTGATACCTGGCTCAGTGGGGTTCCTCTTCCCCTGCTGGCCACTCCTCCTAAGTCTCCCTAACAGGTTTCTTTTCCTTATTTTCTTTGGTAAGTGTGGCTTCACCCCTACCCCCTTCCCTTCTCACTGCCTGTATATCTCTTTCCAAGCAATTTTATTATTGCTGTGGTTTAAATGACTATTTATTTATGCTAAGGTCATATTCTTGGAGCCTCATAGATATATTGCCTCCTAGATATTCCTATTTTTATAGCTCATATACACCAAACTTAATATGCCCCAAACTGAATTTATCATATTTCCCATTTCCAAAACCAATGCTTTCTTCTATATTTTCTTTTCACTTAGATGTTAACAACCATCCATTCAGGGACTCAGGCTAGATGCATGAGAGAAGCCAAGCTTGCTCCTTACCCCCAGGCTACTCTGGCTCCAAATCCTGTTGAATTTGCCTACCAAATCTCTCTTCAATCCGTCTATTCATCTCCCTTTCCCTGACACTGCTGAACTCAGACCTTTGGCATCCCTTCTCTGGATCATCTGAGAACTTCTGGACTGTTCTTCCGGCTGGCAACTTCATTTCCTTCCTGCAGCCTAATACTTGATGTTATTTTATTCTTTGTCATTGTTACTCATTTGTATCTTTTTTTCTTTAACATCTTTTTCAAAGTAAAAAGTAATAGACTTTCAATGTAAAATAAAAGGCTATACAGAAAATGTTAAATTCACCCAAGATCCAGTCCTCAAATCTCATTCAAATACACAAACACACCTTTTTTCTAAAAATAGAATCATATTAAATATGCTGCATTCCTTCTACTTTAAGAGGCACTTTTTTTCTCTACATTTTAACATCTCTGAAACCAGAAGATATCAGACAATCAAAGGTGTCTTAGCTTTGGTTAAATACACTATTACTCTGCAATGTGCTACTTGTACTCATTAATATGGGTCATGATTCCAAACCAGCACTTACCTGTGAGATGATCTCTCTAAAAGTACTAACCTGGTCAGGTCATGACCCTCTTAAAAATTCTTCAAAGACTCCCGTTCCTGCTTCCCCCATCACCTCAGGCGTTTCATTTTCTGACTCCCTTCTACTTCTGCAGCCTCCTTTTCAGCACATCCACACACATCCTTTTCCTTAAAGCTGAACAGACCTGATCTCTGTGGAGCCAGATCTTTGTGCTTTTGCACCAAGGTTTCCTCTGTCTCTTCCTCACCTCTTCTGCTCCAAGTTGCCCTTATTGGAAAACTGTCCTGATCCCCAAGCTGAGCCTGGGTTCTTCCTTTATGCCCTGCTTCTTAGCTTCTCTGCACCTGGGGCACATCTTTGTTAAGTCCCTTAACACACAGGTTCATGCCATTTCTCTTGTTGCTCCCCATAAATAGTGAGTTCTTGAGCACACTTTCTTCTTTATATCCATTTCCAGTAGTGCCGGGGCAACAAGAGCACTCCGTAAACATTGGAAAAAATGAGCTATACATGCAGGAGGCATAAAAATACTCCTTGAAATAAGACAAAGAGCATTCTAATTAACCATTCCCTTAACGTAAGGAGGACAGAAGGTGCTAACCCATTTAGCCACCCAGAAATCTAAAGCTACTGGTTTTTCTTCTCTTTCCCTGCTTTCTACTCTTCCAGGCCTACTAATTCCACCCTTAACTATAGATAAATCTGATTTCAACAACCATGCCCTTGATGACCCCTTTCTTCCTCCCTGGTCCTTTTAAGTGCTTCAAGTCCAAACCTCTGTCCATAGCGTCATTCTCTCCTGCCACAAGAACCCTATTTTTAGACATAAGTTTTGAAAAGTACCAAAAGGGGATTCTTCCTTCCAACTTGTCACTCTAAAATGCCTTCCTGCCCTAAATGTGGACACATGGCTCAGTCTCACCATGACAACATGAGGAAATAAACTCAAAAGGAAGCTGAAGTTTAACACAACATCTTTATTTTAATAACTATCCTAAAAGCTTAAAGTTAATGTTCCACCTCAGTGAAAATTATTATCCCCCTCTCAACACAGTATTGGGTTTGTATTCTAGAAAATGTCAAAAATAGGCAAAAATGTTTCCCAGTTCTTCTTTCTGACTTAGATGATTTAAAGCCAATGACTCCAATTCATTCATGGAAAAGTAGCAGGGTACTGTTGGGGATTTAAAGCTCAGCTAATGTGGCCTATGTGGCAATCACTCTGCTTGGTCTATGCTAACACATGTTGACAAGTCACAGGGCCAATATACTTTCAATACCCTACCTTGGTGAAAAGGCCAAGGACTCATGAAACAATCAGAAATAATATAGCAAAAGAAGGAAAAATGGAAAGAGGAGGGGGAGTATACGAAAGAAGAGTGGCAAGTGACAAAGCAGGAGAAAATAGAGGCTTTACAATAGGAAATTCAGCTGACAGGATTCCAGGAAACAGACATTTGCCATCACAGTTGGAGCCAAGGGGGAACAAGGACCTTGTAACTGAAAGAAATAGGAATGCAGCTAAAGAAAAAAATAGGGAGTGCCTGGAGCCAGAAAAGTAAATAGATAGAGTGATGAAAGTGTCCTCAGCATGTAAAGAGGCCTAATAAAGAGACAAACAGGACCTTGACTCAAAGACCTCGATTAAAGAAATGGCAGGATCAACATGTGGACAGACATAATAAGGAGGGAAAGCAGCTGTTAGGAAAAGTGCTGTAATTCTACCATCTGGAAGAGGCCAAGAAAAAAGACAGCTCTACTCTACAAATGGACTCAGAATTAGGAAGTTCACAGCCTCTCAATGGAGAATTAGAGTCAGGTGACCATTCTAATGTTGGTTGTGGGGTCATATCAGTCTAGCCTATAGTATGCTTAACATTTTGAATGTGGGGAAGAAAACTTACATTCGGAGGGAAGAAAGCACATTTCACCACTTAGGCCAACACAAAAGAGACTGTACACAAATCTGTTCACAGATTTTAGAGTAAATACAAATAACATTAGTCATCAGATACCTTAACTGTTGAGACATAATTCCTGTTCATTTTAGCTGCAGGGACAACTATCGACCTGATTTTTCCTGCACCTCAACGTGAGACAATTACAAAGGAAAAAGGAAGGCCGAAATCGTCCTGTAATCTTCAGTGACTTCTCTTTTCAGTACGGACTTGGGTGAATTTAGACCCCCAGGAGCCGGGGCTGGAGGAGCCGCCCGGGCAGTAGGTATCTCCGGGTATGAGGCCTGTTTGGGATGCAAATTGAGTTTCCCCCGAGATCGACACTGCCTCGGGGAATCTGAAATTAGTACCCTACAGCGCTAATAAAGGCACCTTTTGGAGAGACATGATGCCTGTTAATTTGCACCTTTTTCCCCACCCATCGACTTCAGTCTTAATTTATGCAGCGCAAGGATAGGGCAGGAACGGATCTCCTATTGCTTTCGTTTCCTACGTGGCCAAGACCCTAAGAGCAGCCGGTCGCTTACCTGCCTTCCATTTCCCGGCTCGGGAGCGGCTGCGCGTCTTGCAGAGCTGCTCGCAGCGGGTTCCCGCCTGCTCGCGTCCTCACCTGCGGACCATCTCCGGCTCGGGCCAGCCTCACTCATCTGGGATAGGTGGCAGGGGTTAAGGAGACCTCAGAGGGCGGAGGGACTGGAGGAGGCGGGCTGCGCCCTTCCCCCAGAGCCAGGGAGGAGGCGTCTCCAGCGAGCAGGTGAAACCGACTCCGACCTATCCCGGGAACTTTCGCTGCCGGGACTCGCTGCTAGAGGTCTGCGTCGCGCAGCGGCGGCCTGGGAGCCTCCCTCTCCCTCCGGGGCTGCGCTCGGGGCTTCAGTTCAGGGGCCTCTCCCTGGGGACCTCGCGGCCCTCTTGGCGAGCTCGGGGGCTGCAAGCAGTGCCGCCCTCCGCAGCTGATGGAGGCCAGTGGTGCCGCACCGGGCGCAGGTGGCACACGACAGGCCAGGGCTTCTGCTGGCGGGGGAGAGCGCAGGGAGAGCGAAACGCAGACACCCCGGGGCCAGGGGACGACAAGGCAACGATGGCCCGAGAGTTGAGCCAGGAGGCTCTACTGGACTTTCTGTGCCAGGCCGGGGGCCGAGTGACCAATGCCGCCTTGCTAAACCACTTCAAGAGCTTTCTCCGAGACCCCGACGCGCCCCCCAGCCAGCACCAGCGCCGCCGCGAGCTCTTCAAGGGCTTCGTCAACTCGGTCGCCGCAGTGCGCCAGGACCCCGACGGCACCAAGTACGTGGTGCTCAAGAGGAGGTACAGGGACCTTTTGGGGGAGGAGGGGCTGCAGCGACCCTGCGACCCGCCCGCGGCCGCTTCCCCTGCAGGAGGGTTTGTACCCTGCTACCCGCGAGGCGCGCGCCCGGGAGAGTCGCAGTCGCAGCCGCCGCCGCCGCCGCCGCCGCCGCCCAGGCGGCGGCAGCGCGACCAGGAGCCGGAGGAGGAGCCAGCAGGTGCCGCAGCCCCAGCCGCCGACGCCGGTTGCAATGGACTCCCCGCCAGTGGCGCCCGGGAGGCGGCCCGGGGAGGCGGCGGGCGGAGGGGCAGCTCCGGCCATAGGGTCCCGACGAGGTGCGCGGCGGCGGAGACACAGGGCCGCTGCTGCTGGGAATGCCAGCAAAACGGCCTGGGGGGACTCGGGGGCGACCTGCTGCTCAGCGCAGTCTCGGACCCTGCCACCGCCCGGGAGAGGCCGGCGCGGGCCCCGCGGGCCCAGGATCACCGCGGGGCTCCCAGGCAGCAGCGGGAAGGAGCGTCCGCTGAACCCGAGCTGGGGTCCGCAGCTCCCCGCTCGCCTCCGACAGCCGTCGGGGCTGCTGGGAGCAGGGCGTCCCCGCCTGCTGTCCTGCCCGGGCCTGCTTTCTCCGGAGAGCTGCATGAGCTGCTGAGCCCGGGCTCTCTGCAGCATTCGGCCCTGCTGCAGCAGCGGCGCACTCGCGAATGGGTGGCCAGACACCCGCAGAGACCCGAGCCCCGGGACCAGGGCCCCATCCGCGCCTGGTCGGTGCTCCCAGACGATTTCCCCCAGACACCCGCGCAGCTGAACTTCTGGGTCCCGGAACCTAACTCAGCGCCGCCTGGCCCCTCTCTTTCCTCTCCTGTCTTTCCGGTCGTCCGGGAATCCTGGCAGGGGAATCCGTCGTTGACGGTCTTTCGTAGCATTCGTTGTCAGCTGTCCCTCCAAGATCTGGATGACTTTGTGGACCAGGAGAGCCATGGCAGTGAGGAGAGCAGCAGTGGGCCCAGAGAGTCCCCTGGGGGTTCTGAAGAGGGCCAGCACGTGACCCTGGGGACAGACTGGAGAAAACTCAGGAATCCAGCTGAGGGTCTTTCTCCAAAGGAGGGCAACTCCAGCAAGAGCCCTCAGGGCCTCAAGCCCGGAGGGGATGGTCACATCTCTCAGCAGGTCCCAGCAAGGGCTAATGGCCTTGCAGGCTCCCCCCAGGAGCCTTTGTCCTGGTCAGTACCCAAGTTAAGGAGATCCCTCAGGAGGAGCTCTCAGACAGGGAGAGCCAAACTGTCTTCCTCAGATGAAGAACGCCTCGAGGAGGACTTGCTGAAGAGGACTCGGCGCCCACCCCGGTCCAGGAAACCCTCCAAGGCGGGGGCGGTGCCCAACCCAAGGGTGGATGCTGCTTTAACACCCAGACCTGCAGAACTTAGGGCTGCTGTTGCTCAGAGGGGTCCACAGCCACACAGCTCAGGGGCCCCAGGTGGGGAGGAGCATGCATCCTTGGTCCTGCACAGACCTTCTGAGCACAAATCATCCCTGGTGCCCCTGGATGCCAGGGAGCATGAGTGGATTGTCAAGCTTGCCAGTGGCTCTTGGATTCAGGTGTTGACTTTGTTCTGGGAGGACCCCCAGCTGGCTTTGCACAAAGATTTCTTGACTGGGTACACGGCCTTGCACTGGATGGCCAAACATGGTGACCTCAGGGCTCTTCAGGACCTGGTCTCAGGTGCACAGAAAGCAGGGGTTGCTCTTGATGTAAATGTGAAGTCCAGCTGTGGATATACCCCTCTGCACCTTGCAGCCATTCACGGCCACCAGGGGGTCATCAAATTGCTAGTGCAAAGGTTGGCTTCTCGGGTGAATATCCGGGACAGCAGTGGGAAGAAGCCATGGCAGTATCTGACCAGCAACACCTCTGGGGAAATATGGCAGCTCCTGGAAGCCCCTCGGGGCAAGCCCATTTTTCCTGTTTATCCCCTAGTTCAAAGCTCTTCCCCCACCAGGAAGGCCAGGAGCCGGGAAATATCTAGAAATATCACGAGAAAGACATCCTTTGCTGCATTACTCAAAAGTCAGCACAGCAGATGGAAAATGGCCAACCAGTATGAGAAATTCCATACTCCCAGGGAAAGAGAAGAATATAGTGACTGAGGTGGGCCCCTCTTTGCTACATCATCCACTCTATCCCTGTACATGAACTATTCAGGGAGAGAATTAAAGGGGAATAGAAAAATTGCTGAGATGTTGGTAAAGAAAGAGGTCAAGTGAGATGGCCTGCCTAGTGTTTATCTGCCTGGATTTTAGGTCAGCAAATCCTGGACCTTGGGGGTCATCCACACTTTCTGGCGGCCAAGTCCTTGGGCCAGTGAAACCTAGACCAGGGGCAGAGTGAGGGGCTTAAAACCCTGGAGGTGTTCTTCTTCTTCCGTTGCCAGCATGGATCAGGGTACAGTGAGCCACATTGTTTTCCAAAGCAGTAATCCCAGGCCTTGGCTAGAGTGAACAAATGTCTAAGAAAAAGGGAGGCAATTCCAGGAAGCTCAAACAAAATCCTCTCTGGCTAGTAGCTCTCTGGCTTCTGCTCATTTGGAGGATAAATCCTGGCTGAGGAGTGAGTGGAAAGCACCAGTTTTGAAATCAGATGACTCCCTCTTTATTTCATTCCTTTTTCCTCTTTCTCTCCTTCTTTCTCCTCTCTCTCTCTCTCCCTTCCTTCCTTTCCTTTATTTTATTTTTTTAATTTTGTTCTCATTAATATAAAATCACATAGGCAACATTGCTTACTAGATTCCCCCCATTCTCAAGTCCCTACCACATACCCCATTACAGTCACTGTCCATCAGCATAGTAAGATGTTATAGAGTCACTACTTGTCTTCTCTGTACTGTACTGCCTTTCCCTGTGACCTCCCTTACATTTGTGTACTAATCATAATACCTTTATTCCCCTTCTCCCTCCCTTCCCATCCACCCTCCCCAGTCCCTTTCCCTTTGGTAACTGTTAGTCCATTCATGGGTTCTGTGAGTCTGCTGCTGTTTTGTTCCTTTCAGTTTTTGTTTTGTTTTTATGCTACAGAGATGAGTGAAATCATTTGGTACCTGTCTTTCTCCTCCTGGCTTATTTCACTGAGTATAATACCCTCTAGCTTCATCCATGTTGTTGCAAATGGTAGGATTTGTTTTCTTCTTATGGCTGAATAATGTTCCATTGTGTATATGTACCACACCTTCTTTATCCATTCATCTACTGATGGACACTTAGGTTGCTTCCATTTCTTGGCTACTGTAAATAGTGCTGCGATAAACATAGGGGTGCATATATCTTTTTCAAACTGGGCTTCTACATTCTTAGGGTAAATTCCTAGAAGTGGAATTCCTGGGTCAAGTGGTATTTCTATTTTGAGTTTTTTGAGGAACCTCCATTCTGCTTTCCACAATGGTTGAACTAGCTTACATTCCCACCAACAGTGTAGGAGAGTTCCCCTTTCTCTGCATCCTCGCCAGCATTTGTTTTTCCTAGTCTTTTCTATGTTGGCCATTCCTTTCCTTTCTTATTACCTCTGCCTTCCTTCCTTCTTTCCTTCCTTCCTTCTTTCTCCCTTTATTCTTCTTTCCTTCTTTCTTTCTTTTTTTTTTGGCATTCAAAACAGTGAAAGGAATTTATTATTGAAGAGTAAAACTTGATTTCAGAGATTCCTCAGCCCTGTCCTCAGGTCTTCCTTTGAGCGCAACCCAAGGTGGCCAGTGTGTAAAATGATTAGTGCCTCATTCGGGTCTCTGTGTGATCAGAGAAGCAGTTAGGTAAGGTCCAGTTATGACTGACATTCAGGCCCTGCTTTTTAAAAATCAAGCTAAGAGAAACTTTTCAAATGTAAAAAATGTCGGCTGATTTACACAGTGACTGCAACCATCTTTCAAGGAAACTTCCTGAGTAAGAAATGCAGAATTAGCATTAGTAATTTTCTGTAGACTTGAATGGCCAGTGTTCATTCTCTGGGGAGTGGCAAGGGTTAAGAGGTGAATGCCTTTTCCCTAGGAATTTTCTGAGCTGCTAAATATAATTTTATTTGCACTAAATTTGTTGCCAAATAAGATTAAATATTAGCCTTGAAGTGCTATATCTAACAGGAAGTGCTCCTTTTAATTGTTTGTAATGAAACTGATCTTTGTAGGTCCTTGGAATGAGGGAATGGCTAGTCTATAAACTGCAGTACAGCATCAAGATTTCAGAATGTAAATTCAAAGAGGGCTTAAAAATTAAATGGCCCTATGGAAATCGTTAATTTTTTATGGAAATACTTTCATGTGTTGTAGCAATAATGTTGTATTTTTTAAGTATTTTTGTGGTTCTGCTTCATTCCTCCATTGAAAATATCAAAAAATCTTTATAATTTATTGTACTTGTACTGATGACCGTTAACTTTTTGTTACAAAATTGTGTTTCAGTGAGTGTCAAATATTTTTGTTTCTTTGTAGTTTTACTTTATAATTTTGCAGAAATAAATATATCTCTGTTGTATTAGAAAAAAAGGAATAATAAATAAGTGGTTATTTCCAGAAAGATACACAAGGGATGAAACTTTGGCAAATCAAATCAAGAAAAAAGGGTAACAATTACAGATAGTGGCATCATGGTTAGGAAGAGGTAAAAATTTAAAAGAATAAAAGATAAAACACCTATGCAAATTCCCTAGCAAGGCAATTTTCAAGGAAAAGAGTCACAAAAATAACTTCTTTTAAAAGCTAAGGAATGTTTTCACTTTATCATATTTTTTATTACTACATCAAGTTATACAGCAAATATATTTTGCTTAGTGCTGTGGGATTTATAAAGGTGAGTGTGGCATGACCTCGCCCCACTTAAAATCCCCACTTGAAACTTTAATTCTAACAAGATTTATTGTTAATTGATTAGTTTATACCCTGTCTTGCTCCCAAGGTGTCTTTTAAAGCTGCCTTTTATTAGACAAAAGCTCTTTAAATGAGGTGAATAGTAAAGAGCTGGTACCAGGCAAGAGGGCAAAAACCACACTACAGGAACAAATTTGCAAAGTGTCATTAAGTCCAAAAGTGCTCCAGAGGATTTCAGAGGTGAGATTGCCTTTGGACTAGGGAGATCCTGGAGGGCTTCACAGAGGCCAGAATTTTTCAAGTGCATGATCCTTGCTTTCCAGAGAAACCAGCCTTGTTGGTTCTACCACATTCTTGCCTTCTGCTTCAGTGTGTGATTTGCATAGCTCTGGTGCTGGCCGCTTGGTGGTTGGAACACAGTTCTGGTCTCAGGGTGGTTCTTGTGAGGATTTGGGGCCCTCTGGCCTCAGTCCACACATCATACCTCTGGCTCTGGTCAGCTCTCTTACACAGTCAACATGTATACTGGGAGGGAGGGGGCAGGGCAGATGAGGGTGTTGAGAACAGAATAAAACACATCTGATTGTGTCACCCTCTTGGTCATATGGGAAAGTGCAGGCTAGGAGGGCTGCCAAGCCCAGCACATTTTTCCAGCCTCCTGCCAACCACTCCCTACTTACATTGAAGCCACACCAGACCCATTGGGGTGCTAATGACCCTACCTTCCCAGTTTGTCTTGGTGCTGAATTCACTCAGCTTAGAATCCTTTTTGATGTTTTCCTGGTGAACTTGCCCTTTTGTTCAAGGGACAGTACAAATATCACAGCCTCCAAGAAGATTCCAGGGTAAATACCTCCAACCCAGAAGATGTATAGCTCTGGCAACAGCATTCTCATGACACCATGTATGCACCTCACTTACAGTTTTTGCTACATGGTATTTTAGTAAATTATTGGTATGTTTTATTTTTTCCCTAAGACTTTGAACATTGGAGATTAGAGAATATATTTTCAATTCATCTAAATTTAGCAGATATTTATGGAAAATCTAATATGTAATAAAGCCATAATTCCTGCCTTTAAGAAGTCTACTGGGAAAGGAGAGTGTGAGGGTGGGTCACTGAAAAATAATTCTAGCCCAGTGAGGTTAGTGGATAGTGGTCTGCATTGACATTAAGAGAATACAGAGTAGAGGACATTTATGGAGCATATTCTATGTACCAGCCTCTCTGTGTATGTTGGAAATACAACATACAATAAGATAATATATGTTTCTTGTTCTCCTGGCACTTTCTTAGACTGGCAAAGTCAGGAAGGTAAAATGGATGTTATATGGGCTTTGAAGGGCCAAGTGAAGAAAGGAGGAAAGAATATTCTAGAAGAAGGAAGGAGCCTGAGCAAAGCTGCAGTGTCTGCAGGATACTTAGTCACTTGTGGCTGTGGGGGCTAGTCTCACTGAACTGGATTAAAAAGGTGATTTAAGGCCAGGTTGAAAAAAGAGTCTTTTAAGATATGTCATGAAATAGAGGCATTATCTAGGAAGTCAAGGATTGCTAAATCTCCTTCTAGAAAACCTTAGTGTTATTCCAAATATAGATGTTTTGCCAAAGTCTTTAAAGACAAAAAATTTAAAGACAAAAAAAATAATTCAATGTATCAGATATAGATATACTTCAAAAGTTTCCCTTTGAAATTTTTCTTATGTCTTCAGTGTTGTTAATGTTCCTTTGCTAGCAAATAGTGATAGGCAATAAAATTATTTAACAAATGGCAATTTCATATTAGAGACAAACATTAGAAACTGTTGATACTCTTAACCACTTGCCTTTTTTGTAGACACAGTTGTAGTAATTTTTAATCTTATACATACTATATGCCACAGTCTTATTTTCTGCTATTAAATTTCTTCTAGTTGAACACTTTAGGATTTTACACATGGCATGCCAAGAATCCCGACGCTTTGATTCTTCATCCACCTATTTAAAGTGCACAGCTCAGTGGGTTAGTGTGTTCACAGAGTCGTGCAACCATCACCACAATAAACTCCTGTAGAGGTTTGAGAATCCGTTTTAAGGCAGGGCAGTGATATGCACAAGCTAAGGAGGATAAAAGGGCCCTCCTGCTGCAGTGAGGGGAACAAACTAGAAGCACAGATTAGTTATTACAGTGTCTCTATTTCTTCTGGAAGTGTTAGGAATGTTGACTCAGTCAGCTGGCTGGAGTGGGTAAGACTGGATGTCTATGATGAGGAAAGAACATCTGAGACAGAGGGGATGATTTGATTGATAAGAACTGGAAAGAATCAGGTATGATCCAAAAGGGTCTTTCTTTTCCTTCTCATCTCTAAAATGCCCTGGCTGGGTGATTAGATCATCTCATGCTGTACCGGGGGTCAGGGTTCATGGTGGCACTGATCTAATAGTGTAAATTCACTCTCTGTACAGGCCCTGCCTAGCACAGCAGTGCTGGTGTGTGTGCTTCTGTTTGCCCACATCAGCCAAATGATTACAAATGTAAGGAAAGGATAGGATAGTACAGAACTGGAGCTCGTGACAAGGAAGCTGGCCCACCTGAGATCCTGTCCCGGCTTGGGCAAGGCCTTCAAAACTTCCCAATTTTCCCTTTTTTAAGGTGGGTTTTTTGAGAAGATCACATGAATTAATACAAAGTCCCTAGAAACTGCCTGGAATATAGTAGATATATGTTGATTTATTACTATTTTTAACACCTTTTAAATATATAATTCACTTTCAATTTCCATCTATGCTGAAAACAAAGAAATCCTCCAATTTATTAAAAAGGTGCTATAAGAATATTTACTGATCAAGACATTTTCCTTCTGTTTCTACATAAAAGATGCTGTGTTTCTCATTTCAAATTAAATAGACTATCCAACTATCTCTTGTGCATAACAA